TAAATAAGAAAATTTCATGGCTCCCTTCAAAGTCAAGTTTTCAAGAATTATAATAAACATGCATAGCCCAAAAAAAGTGTCTTATGTAGAAAAGCCCTCACTAGATAACAAAAAGTCTACATTTGTGAGTATGCATTCTGCATACCCCACATAAAAAAGGCATATTGTTCTCAAATCCAAGTTGTAAGTCCTACCTTCTAAATAAAAATAGACATCTACTCTACATTTGCATTATGACCGGACGACATGGTTTTAAAAGCGATTAGCAGGGTCTAGCTGGTAGTCCTTTCCAGGCAGGACAGTAAATCTAGAGGTTGGGCCGATTATGCCTCATATGAGGTGTAATTTGTAATTCGTTAGACTTAGCTTCGAGGCATAATCTATCGGTAGTCCTCGCCTTAGTTTTAGTGTCTGAGACAATAGTTGATTTCAAATCACTATATAAGCCCTCACCTTTCGGGCAATTCCTTCAACAAGTGTTGGAATGTAAAACCAAACTCTCTAATGAAAATATCAAACTTAAACAAAATTAGATTTCTAAAATGTAAATTCTAACATAGATAGTTTGAGCACCTATGAGTTTCCCTCAAAATCAAGTGTTCCTACTTCACCGCCTTTGACCCTCATTTCAAGAAACCTAATTCTAAGTTTATCCTTTCACCTTCTTGAAATTCCTAAAGGTCAAAACCCTTTAAGCAAGACTTTCATGAATTTTAAAATAAAATCAAACTTTAGCCAATGTCTAAAATGACTTCAAAAAATAAAGAAAATCACTAGTTTAATCAAAAGTCTTCCTAAGCCAAAGCTTGGGATGTAACTAACCATAGGGGCTTGCCCTTTTGGGACGTCTGTACGCCAGAAATAAATAAACCCCACTCGTCTGAACATCGAATGGGGTTTATTTTAAATTGTAAATTTTATTATTGAGTTCATAAGGAAATGATATTTTTACCCTTCGGAGTAATATATCATCATTCTTAAACCGTACTCAATTATAAAGTATGCAATCCATTCGAGGATACAAAAATTCTCCAACAAACGGGTCTATGGTGAAAGATCAACATCAAATTGAAGATGTTCTATTTCGGTTCTTTAAGGAGAAATGGAAAGAGAGAATATGTATTCTGGAACGGTGGCTTGCTTCGTAGAAGTGTTTGGATGAGTTTGATTCCATTTTGTTAAATAGAGCTTTCTCAATTAAAGAAGTGGAGATCGTGATTAAGCAAGCTGGTATCAATATAGCTCTTGGTAATGATTGTATATCCTATAAAGCATATTGGGATATTATTAAAAAAGATTTTTGGAATGCTTTGAATCAGTTTTTTTTACACGGGGAGATGGATTCTAGTTGGAAAGAAACTTTAATTGTACTAATTCCTAAGGTGAGCTATATCTCCTTTAAATTATAGACCCATCAGCTTGTGTAATACTATTTACAAGGTGGCTGCCAAGGTTATTTTGAATAGATTGTCTTCTATTATTCCTAAATTGGTTTTTGAAGAATAGGCAGCATTTTTAAAATGAAGATCGATGACAGATCATGTTTTGGTTGCTTAGGAGGTTTTTAGTAAACTCATGTATTCAAAATATTCCAAGGTTATGTTTTTTCAAAATAGATATGGAGCAAGCTTATGACTCTATGGGATGACATACTACGGTGGAAGCATTGAAGTATTTTGGATTTCCATCTAACTTTTCTAATATAATTTTGGAGTGTATTCAAGATCCTAAATTCTTGTTGATGATTAACAACAGTTATTCAAGTTGGATCTATACTAGAAGCAGATTTCGTCAAGGTTGTCCCTTATCGCCTTTCTTACTTATACTTTGTTCTCTGCTTTTATCAAATGCCTTTAGACAAAGAGGTGATGCGTTGGGTGTTCGTGTGAGCTCATTTGGTCCTAGGATCTCTCATTTGTTTTATGCATACAACATATAACATTATCATCTTTTCAGAAGCTAAATTGTATTTTAAAAGAATTTTGCAGTTGGACTGGGCAAAATGTAAATGTGAATAAGTCTTGCATAATTTTTGGAAAATCAGTTAAGAATAAGAAAAAGAGAGCTATTTCTCGCATTATGGGAGATAAATTTCATTACCTTGGAGTTAAGGTAGCTTTGAGGAGGTTAGTAGGAGCTGATTTTCAATTCATTGTCGATAAGGCTTTGAGGATGATAAATATTTGGGGAGGAAATTTTATTTCTTTGGTTGGTAAAATCACTCTTGTGAAGTCGATTTTGCTTTCTTATATTGTTTTCCATTGTACTCATTCTTCCAAAAGGTGTTCTAGATGAGGTTGATAAGCTTTGTAGAAGCTTTATTTGGAATAAGATGAATGGAAAATGTAGCCTTCATTATGTGAATTGGAATGTAATTTGTATGCCATTGGAACGGGGTGGTCGATCTTTACATTCATGTTCAAGTAAAGTTGGGCCTTTGAGAGCTAAGTTAGCTTGGAAGTATATTCAAGATAAGGATTCCTTGTTGCATAAGATAATCTTTCCGAGATATGGTTCACTGTATGAGGTTGATTCATTAAGGAAGGTGGGCTTTATTGCTTGGAAGCTTATTTCTGATGGACGGAAATACCTTAAGCCAATTGTTAGGCGGAGCATTGTTAATGGGGAATCAATAGATGTTTTCAAGGATATTTGGGTGCTGGATAACTGTTTGAATAGATGGCCGACGTATCTACTCCCTCAAGATTTCAGTGAGCTCAAAGTCGATAAATTTATTTCAGATGGTTGCTGGAATGTTCTTGAACTCAAAATATTTTTTGGTATTGATCTTGTTAATCTTATTTGCCAAATTCCAATCTCATCTGGAATTAATATCTAAAAATTCTGGAAAAACAATATCAGCATTAGCATTTGAGGCTGCAATTCCTGATTTTCCTCACGTTCAATTCTGGAATTGGATTAGAAAGTCAAAACTTAATCCTCGGGTGGAGGTATTCTGGTGGAGAGTTTATAACAATGCTATTCCTACAAATCAATTCTTGTATTACAGGAGATTACAAAGAGGGAACGGTTGTCCTAGAAATTGCAATGATGCAAAAAATATTGAACATGTTGCTGTCAAGTGTAAAAAGCTGTTGAAGTGGAAGAATGTTGTAAGTGGTTGTCTTTATAAAACTTTTTGGTTAATTAATTTGTATTGCAATGTTATTTTCTTTTTATGGAAGGCAAGGAATAAGTTAATTCATGAAGGAAATGATGAAAGCTCATTGTACATTGCTTTTAATGCCGTGTGCTATGCTTCAATTTCTGCATCTAAACTCTGTTTTAACTCGGGTAAATGGGGTGCTAATCAGCTTTCTAGATTGTTGGACAATCATTGGCATCCCCCTCCACCCGATTGGATCAAAATCAATGTTGATACTTCGTTATTACCATCATATAAAGCTGAAATTGGTGGTGTCTTTTGGCATCCCCCTCCACCCGATTGGATCAAAATCAATGTTGATGCTTCGTTATTACCATCATATAAAGCTGAAATTGGTGGTGTCTTTTGTAACTTTAAAGGAAGATTTCTTCTGGCGTTTGGACATACCTGTGTTCATTGGAATGTGTCTCGATTGGAGCTTTTAGCTATTCAATCTATCAAGGAGGTTATCAAAGATTGGATTTACAATCACAAGGGAATTATCATTGAAGGTGACAATGTAAATATAAATTAAGCTTCTTCAAGGTGTAATTACAAGTGCTAGCCATAATATGGAAGACCTTTCTTTTATCAAAGATTTCAATCATGTGATTTTTAATTGTATAGATAGGAAAAGTAATAAGTTAGCGGATTTATGTGCTAAGTATGCTCTCTTTAATTCTTTTATTTGGGAAGATATTAGTTTGAATAAAGTTCCTCCTCTTATTTCTTTGTTAAAGGAGGAATCTATTGTAAATAACTAGTAGTTTGTACTTTCCTTTTTAATAATTAATGCAATTGGTTGCATTTTCTCAAAAAAAAAAAAAAAAAAAAAAAAAAAAAAAAAAAAAGTGTAGGTGAAGCTATGATGCACAGACACGGACACGACGACACGTATACGATACGACACGGACACGGGACATGACAATTATTGAAAATATAGGACACGAACACGGGTTGCACACGGTATTATAGTTTTTATATTTTAAATAGTGTATAAAAATTAAACAAGTATAATTTTAAAAATAATTTAGAAATAAAAATTCATTTAATTAGAATGCGCTTAAAATGATTAATATTAGGATGTTGAGAGTTGGACATCGATGCTATTTATTAGTCATCGAGAGAGAAGATGAAAATACCTTCACTGCTAAAGAGAAATGAAAACGAGAATAATTGTTGAATGGGGTATTGAGTGCGGACGATTGATTTAATGTTGTGGATATGAAATAAAAAAAATTAGTTTTTATATTTTAAATAAGTAAAAATTTTAAATACAAGAAATTATATTTAAAAAATTAATAAAATATTTAAGATACGTGTGTCGGACACGCGTGTCTAATTTATATTTAATATTTTTTTTAATCGGACATGTTTTCGGCGTGTCCGACACGTGTCGGAGGAGTGTCGAACGCGTGTTGTGTCGGATACTGCACGCCTCTTTGAGGAGAAGTGTCGGTGCATCATATAGAGGTGAAGTGTTGGCGGTACCAATCTTCCTTCAATTTATTAATCTTTTTTAAATAATGTTGCATGTAAGAAATATATAATAAAAAATAGAATATAAATAATTTAGAATTATATAATTATTAAATACTATATAATAATAATAATAATAATAATAATGTTTTAAACCTTAACAAACTGATGATGATAGAATTTAGTCTTATTTGAAAAACTCAAAATATTTATTAAACCTTGGTTCGCTTTATATCAGAGTCACATGAGTTTCTTAGAGAGCTAAATGTAAATTATTTGCAAACAACTAGCTTTTATTTTGATGATATCATCACCTATGTTACTTCAACTTTATCATTTCAAACCATTAGCATGAAAATATATCCTTTTTTTAGTCTCAATGATTGATTTCGTTTGTGAAATTGTAGGACCTATGCGAGAGCCTAAAGGAACTTTTTCAGAAAAGAGAACATGCTTACTTCTGTTAGCTGCTGGGACTCATTCTAAAAATATTGACGATTTATTGTCTAACAGGTCAGCTTTTCAGCAGACAACATCGGTACGTATTCAGTGTACTGATGTATATTTTTTCTAATGAAGTGCATTCACAGATCAAATTTCATTCTCGAGATTCTTCTAAGGCTGGGAATTAGGAAAAATGCAAACAAAGTAAGCTTGTTGATCCATTGAAAAATATGATTTTTTTTTTAAGTTTGGATTAGCTGCACAATGATTATGATACTTCTTCTTAAGCTTATATCACTTGAATTAAAACCATGACTTGACAGCATGAAACGTTCCAAAATCCAGAACAAGATATGAGTGCTCATCAATTTCCTGCATCTTCCAATAGAAGCGATCAAATTGTTAAATTTTGTGATAATTCACAGGAGAATTCGTGTACTTATAAGACTGAACAACATGAAAAAATTTTAGCACTAAAATGGGATAATACCGAAATTCAGGCTTTTCCATGCAATCATTCCTTTAAAACTAGTTTCAAATGCAAGCACCATAAGTCGAATTTACTTGCTGAGAAAACTGCTACACTTTTTCCCGATTTCGAAAATCTAGCTTCAGCCATTGAATTGATTAAAGAATTTGATTGCAACAAGTACAGCTACACTGACAGAGCTCTTACCCTGCTCAATTCACCTTGTGGTCTTTCTGAGGTCAATGTTTTTCCAACTGATTGTGCTAATTGTGTGGAACAACGAAACAAAAACCTGCATTTCAATTCAGCACTAGACCACAAAGGACTGTTTGATTTTTGTGTCACAAAAGATTCAGATACTTCAATAAATTCAATACTAGAAGTAGATAGTAACAAACATGTTCCTCATAGAAAAAATTGTGACTCATCCCCAGCTGATTGTATCTTCCCCAACATTTATAATTCTGAAAGTTTCCTCCAAGAACAACCATTTACCCCATACATACATCCAGAGATCGCTAAAGAACAATTTACTTCACCTTTGCTGGAGTGGGATGTTCCTGCAGAGCAAGAGCTGTCAGCTCTTAAATGTTTTGTTCCAAAAGAGGTGGATCACTTTACTAAATCCTTAAATTACATATTCGATTTTCACAACGAAATAGGAAGTTCAAGTTTCTATGATGTCTATAGAAGGAAAAGTTTCAGTTTTCTTACAGAGCTACAGTTTTGATTTCACTTCAAGATCCAACTCATCGGAGCAAATGATATGGAAGCATATTAGTTATCCTACTTCAATTCCAATACCTGATTCTCTGTTGAGCAGATAGAATTATTCTGATAATAGTGAATACAGCCTCCCATTCCCGTCAATGAAGATGACAAATTTCATGGGGGCACCAAATAATGTTCCTGTTGATCTATTTAGATTGACTGAATTACAATGCCTTATTCTGCATGAAGAGAAAGAAGTTCACCTGATAGATTGAGCTGGTAGCATTCCTTTCTGATAGATTTAGCTGCTATTTACCGTGAAAGAATTATTCTGGTTGGCAACCTTTTTGTGCAGTTATTTTGATAATCTTTTATTTTTGTGCAATTTGATTTTTGATTTAGAAGTGGGACATCTCCTTTGATAGCGAGTTTCATGCTATTTTTCTAACATGAATTATTTTCCCTGTTTGGCTCTGTTTGGTAATGCTTTTTATTACCTCAGTCTGGTTTCTATAGCTTGACAATCATTAGGCCATTTAATTTGAGGTGAACCAGTTGGAGTAACCAAACAAAGGTTAATAAAAGGTTTTTAGAAATATGGCTAGTATGGTCTTTTTAAAGTTATTATTATCTTATTTTTCAAATCTCAGCATTTTCATTTATTCGGATGAAGAAGCATTGTCTAGCTCATGTAGCGAAAAAAATATATGGTATGTTATACTAATTAATATTTTATGAGTACTTTGATTAGTTATTTATAAGGTTTTATCAATAATTTAATTATTAGTTATAGTTAAGTTGGTAGAAAAAATAGACAAGATAATTAATTATTATTTAAAGATTAGGAAGATTATTCTAATTCATATAATTTTTAATTAACATATAATTAGGCTAATTAGTTATTAAATTATCAATAAAATTATAACTTATTCAAAATTGTTCTCTATTAGAAAATACAAAAAAAATAAAAAAATAAAAAAAATAATTATATGTTAGCTAATTATTAGGATGCTTAATCAATCCATTAGTTAAGATGATTATTAATGTATTGGATTGGTTAAGCTAGCTAGTTATTAAAAAATCAAAATTGGGCTTCATGGATGCAAACCCATTGACTATTCTATGGATATGTTGCACATTGAACAATGGTGAAAGCTATTAATGTTTAATTTGTAAACTTATTTATTTTACTATCACTTAACCTAATAAAGTTTGTTGTTGTTAGTGATTAGTATATGTAAAACTTAAAATAATAATATTGGAATGTTATTTTAAGAATTTTATGACATCAATAAATCCTTAGGAAAAATTTTGGTTCGTCATGGAAAAACATATAACTTAATTTTTCCTCTTACTATTTCTCTAAATTGAGATGTGATGTTGCGGTTCTCGCTGATGGATGCATGGCCATTGGATTTACTCTAATGATCATGATTAACACCAAGTTGGTTTACAAGGTAGATTGTAATTGCCTAATCTTAGCTCTTTCACCATTTTTTTCATTTCTACCTTATGTCCCACTCTTGGGTCTTGGCCTCTCATAGTTGAAAAGTCTATCTATCAATTTCTTCTTCTATCAATTGTAGCCTTTCTTTCTCTATTCTCCCTTGCCTTCACTATTTGTTAGTTGCCTCTCTCTCTCTCTCTCTACGATAGGGCTGAACTACGATAGAGAGAGAGGGAAGCAATTGAGGAATGGAGAGAGAGAGAGAGAGAGAGAGAGAGAGAGAGAGAGAGAGAGAGAGAGAGAGAGAGAGAAATTAAAAGAGAGGGAGATAGAGAGAAGCAATAGATGAATGCAGATAGAGAGAGAGAGAAGCAATAGAGAAATTAAGAGAGAGAGAGATAGAGAGAGAGAAGCAATAGATGAATGGAGAGAGAGAGAAGAAATAGATGAATGGAGAGAGAGAAGCAATAGATGAAGAGAGAGAGAGAGTTGAACTACGGTAGAGAGAGAGAGGGAAGTAATTTTGGAATGGAGAGAGAGAGAGAGTGAGATGAAAGTGCTCTGATGGCACTAGAAAGTTCGTTAGGGATGTTAAGCCCCTTATGAACTGGCCCAAGGCTAATAAAGAGGGGGGGTGGGGTGAATTGGATAACTTTAAAACCAAAGATAAAACTCAAACCAAAATCACCACAAAGAAAACCAATGCGGAAATTAAATGTGGAAGCAAATAATAAGAAAGAACACACCGGATTTATAGTGGTTCGGTCAAATCTTGACCTACGTCCACTCCTTGGAGGCACCCTCCAAGTATTGCACTAAAACAAGTGTCTATCCTTTAGCCCCCACAGCTAGGCGGAGAAGCTCTTACAAAATCACTTCCACCTTCCCCGGTGCAGCGGAGTCGCCGGGTCCTTTGACACCAAAGAGATCTTATTCTTTGGTGAACTTCCCTCCAGACAAGCCTTGAATCCGACGATATTAAGATGAAAGCCCGCCGGAGCAACCGTATGGAATCCCCTCTCTCAGATTTCACCCATTCCTCACTCCCTTTCAAGCTTT